TATATATATATATATATATATATATATATATATATATATATATATAAATAAAATAAAATAAAGCAAGACTACAAATGAAAATAAATTTGAAAAGGCATAAAAAGGATTAAATATCTGGGTTGTCTGTCACATCTTATGGGATAAAATAAAATAAGATTTAGTTGTTTAGCAAGTTTTCAAATTGAGGAAATTTTAACAATATTTAGCAATATTTAATATTAATTTAAACAATATTTAATGGTTATAAACTTTACTTTTGTTTTTTTTTTACTTTTAAACAAAGGTTTAAAGCTGCTACTCACATAATATGAAAAGTCTACTACTAATGAAAAGGAATATGAATATAAAACTGTAAAACAATGCTTATAGCAACTTCAAAGAAAAGATCCTTCATGTTAATTCTCGTTATCAGTTCTCTCACATGGTCATTACTGAAGCTAAATTCATGAACGCATCTCCTCACCTCGATTCATACTGGCCCTGTTTCTCCAGGGGCCGGATCTTCTTCTTAATGACCGGCAGTTTGGAGGTGTCAATCACTTTGGTCTCTCCGCTGCTGTAGGTGAACTCCAGTGTCCCGTTCCACTCCCCCTGAGCCTTGCAGACGATGGTGGCACTGGGGTTGTGCTTTACCTCAGCCGTGACTCTGTTGGAGAATGACAAAAGAAAAACTCTTTGACCTGATCTCAAATAAAACAGGCTCTCAAAGACAAGTCTCGTCACGCTCACCTGTGAACCTTCCCTCCGTAGAAGGGTTTGGTGTGGAATGTGACGGTGGAAGAGTATCCGCTTTTGGCGCAGCAGATGGAAACTTTCCCGCCCAGCTCCACCCAGGGCACTGTGAGGATGGAGCGAGCGTAGGCAGACGGCAGCGTGAACACATACTCCTCATCATGCTCCAAGAGATGTAACACTCCTAACGTAAAACACAGGGCACACACTCTTCAGCAGAACACACTCACCAGGAACCGTAGATACAGTACTGAACGCTTTCAGCTCATCTCCATATAAAAGATTGGCAGCAATACTGATCCACGTTGAAGGAGTTTACAAAGCTTTTGCGTGTTTGGTGCAGAGGAGAAACTCAAAAAGCAAGCCAAGTATTATGCTAGATGTTTAGGTTATGATCAAATTAAAACATGAACGGTGATTTTGCATTCATACAAAAACTGTTTGTGCTCTTAAATGTCAATCTAACAGTTTCATCTATCACATTGTATCACAAATTCTAAATCGGTCCCAACCAATCCTAAAGGAATCAAATGTCCTGTAAGAATTCTCAAAGAAATAATGAAATAAGATCCTAATAGATAAACTGAAATCACACATTTCAATGTATTAGTTCAGTTGATCCAGGATCTTTAGTTATTTGGTCAAAATGAACAAATAATTCAATATTCATTGCTTGGTAACTTGATGTTTTATGAACTTTGCAAAGATTTAATGCTGCTACTTAATCTACATTATAAATAGGTAAACAACTGAAAAATAAATAAAAACGCTTAAAAAGGTGGATTCTTAGAGCAGTGGGATTATGGAGAGTGATGTTATTGTTAAATAAAACTAAAAATATATATAACAAACATTTTGTTCATTTGAAATAAAGCTGAAATCTAAATATTAGATTTAAAAAAATAAAATAAAATCTTGCCTTGGCCACCAGCTAAATTAGAATATGTTTAAGTTTACTAAAACTAAAACTGAACAAACAAATAAATAAATTCATAGTATTTTAAAAAACTGAAAATAGAAGAAAAACCCCCGAAATATATTAAATTACAATACAATTACTAAAAAGTAAATAAATAAAATTAAAGCTAATATAAAATATTAATAAATACTATACTAGTATACAAATAATGCTAAAAGCAATAGAAAATAATAGTGAATGTAAAAAAATATATATGATAATAATGAGCCAAATGGAAGCCACAACAAACCATAAAAAATACATTAAAAGTTCATTAGGAAAAATTGAAAAGTTGAAAATTGAAACTGAAAATATGAAAAGTTCACAGTAATATTAAGATCAATAATAGATTTTTTTAGTAAATTGTTTACCTCTGTATGATAAACAATTCTGTAAATGTCAACACTTTATGACCAATGTAAAATCTGGATCCTAAAGCAAAACTACTTTTTTGAGAATATTAGAATTGGTTCCAAATTATATTAACAATTCATTAGCATGCATTTAGGACTATTAGTTTAAAAAAATTAAATTCAAGCTTAATTACCACTATAATCCTTCTGCACAGCCCAGGTTCATGTGTCACCAGGATGACAGATTTTTTCCCTCAATCATTTAACAATATCAGTTTCCTGGTGTACTTTGATTTTAATATACTATATTATAATGCAAGTCTCGAACTACAGTTGGAAGTTATTAATTAAAATGATGAATTGCGTCTAGCTGTGTAACTCGGGTAACATCTGAACAGCAGCTCTCTCGGTGGGCCTGGCCTCTTTTTATTCTGGTTACATAATGGACAGCTGTCTAGTGGCAAAATCTCTGTGGGCTTTCAGTCAGGTCTGACAACAGCACATCTGTTTCCCAGAGACAAGTGAGCTGAAGGGGGCGGGTGCAGTTCGGCTCCCTGTCTCTGGATCTCTGCTCCAGACGGGTCAAACGTGCTGCGGCCCGAAGCAGTGCTGCTGGAGCAGTTCCCTGTGGGAATGCTGATAACAGAGCTTCTCTGAAGATCCCAGTAGAGGACAGTCGAATTCATCCGTGCTGACACATGAGGAAACTACATTTGATGGAGCCGACGTGGCTGATTAGCAGGAGGGACATTCACTGTGTTAAGGCTGTTCAAGCACCCTTAATTCAGTCATGATGTCAATTTGTAGCGAGCCTGGAATGCTGATTGACTATGGGTTCCATCAGGAAATTCAAATGGGTTTTTAGAATAGCGAGCATTTTACTGTTTCACAAAAGAAAATTGTCATGCCAGAGATATTACAGTTAACTAAAACCATAAAAAAAACGCTACTTAAAAGAAAAAAAAAATGCATAGATTAGATGGATAGATAGATAGATAGATGCATATAAAAAATATATGAAAATATGAAAAATACAAAAATATTAAGCTGCACAACTGTTTTCAACATTAATAGTAATAAGAAATGTTACTTGGGCAACAAAAACAGTTATTGTAAATTCTTATATCTTATAATATCTAAATAATCTATAATATTTCACAAAATTACTGTATCTTTTGATCAAATGTGACCCTGGACCACAAAACCAGTCATAAGGGTACATTTTTTGAAATACATAATCTGAAAGCTGAATAAATAAGCTTTCCACTGATGTATGGTTTGTTAGGATAGGACAATATTCAGCCGAGATACAACTATTTGAAAATCTGGAAACTGAGGGTGCAAAAAAAATCTCAATATTGAGAAAATCACCTTTAAAGTTATCCAAATAAAGTTCTTAGCCATGCATATTACTAATCAAAAATTAAGTTTTGATATATTTACGGTAGGAAATTTACAAAATATCTTTATGGAACATGATCTGTACTTAATGTACTAATGATTTTTGGCATAAAAGAAAAATCGATAATTTTGACCCATACAATGGTGTTTTGGCTATTGCTACAAATATACCCAAACGACTTAAGACTGGTTTTGTGGTCCAGGGTCACAAATAAATGCTGCCTAACTTTTATTCAGCAGTGCACATGGTAAGGCAAACACAAGTTTTGAGTAAAACAGTCCGTTTAGTCCGCACTTAGTGCTCCATTCCCTAAGTGTATTTATAGTCAACATTTATCTTGTGCCATCTGACATTTTGTCACAATTCATTCCGGGATTTCATTCCTTGTGAAGAATATGGCCAAAACAAGGTATCCTTATTAAATTAAAGCAGAGATTCTGGAACATCAGGGCGTGCAATGACAATGCCTTTGTTGGCAGCTCACCAGTTTTAGAATCAGAATGAAACATCAAGCGACTGAGTGAAGTGAAACATCAAGGGGAGAGTTTCTGTTGTTATTCTCTGAGACAGATGGAGTTGTGATATAAGCACCAGTAAATATCACAGGCCCTGTGGCCGACACTCATATAACCACAATCAGCTGATCTAGAAACGGTATGCTCTTTGGTCACACATCTGAGAGGATGGAGGAAAAACAGTTCTGCCTGAATGAGCAAACCCTCAGGCTTTAATCAAACAGTAATGAACAAAACTCAATGATCCCAACAGACAAATGACTGCCATAAACATAACACAACTTTATGAATAAATAAATGCTTCTAAGAAACTATATTAGCAGTTTTTACAGAAACAAACTACACTGTATTTAAAAAAAAAACTTATGTATTTTACACAACTTTCATTTTAATATTAAATAATAATTATTATTATTTCATATTAAAATTCTGATCAATACCTATAAGACTATAATTATTTTCATGCTATGGATATATCAATATCAAAAGTATAAAATAGATTTGTCTAAATGGATCATTAAATGAAAAAATAAATAATATATATATACTTATTTTATTTCAGATAGTTGCCAAGACCACATTTCTAATTTTTGCACTAAAATAACTACAACTAAAACTACTATAACTACACACAAACACACACACACACACACACATACAAAAAATAAAATTGAATTAAAAATATTAACAAAAACTGTAAAAACAAATGAATGATATTAACTAAAATGATCTAATCACATCATAAAGCGCAGCAGCATGAAAAATGTATATTCATTTGTATATTCATTCTTATAGTTTAAAGATTAATTTTATGTAAGCATTGGATAACAAAAATACAACTAACATAAAAATATGGAAAATGAGCACAAATAATTAAATATTTAATATCCATTGATACCAATAAATAAAAAATGTATTGCTATCAGTCGATATGGTACCAATGTACTGTCCTTATGTAAAATATTTGTCACACCAATAAAGCATACTAAAATTTAAACTGGTGTTAAGAGAGACTCATCAAACTCACCTTCTCCAACCATTGACACTCCTATGGACATGCCCATGAATTTGCTTTTAGTCCAAACATGGGTGTTGACGCATATCTGCTGCTCTTTGCACTCGCAGTAGAATCCAGAGACCGGGGGGTGGTGGGACACCTGCTCAGCCACAAAACGTAGCTGGTAAGATCCTAACCCCTCATTGGAGGCGGTCTGGGTGGAATGAGCAGCCGCAGGGGCTGGACTTGAGCTGGTAGTCCTGAGGGGCCGCACCTTATCTTGCGGTACGTCCCATGTGCATTGGAAGCTCTCCCCCAGAATGGGGTTGTAAGGCTTCTTGGCCACAGCACCTTTACGACCCTCATGGAAAGCAGTCAAGTAGTATTCCACAAACCGGATCATACGTTCCTCTGCTGTCACTCCAGATGTGATGGCCAAAAACACATCCGGATGGGCCATGAAGTTGGCATACATCTCCAAAAGAGAGCGCTTCTCTAAGATGAACGTGGGCAACACCACCTGAGAACAAATAATATTGGCATACATTATCTGACCAATATATAGCTGCTGATTTGAGGAAACTTGAGCAGCAAAGAACATATTATATTATATTATATTTGTATCACATAACTTCTCTGTGTTTGCACATTCCAGACAGAATGTCACCATTTCTGTAGTTTAAATCCTCAAAAAATCATAAAAATATCACTGATTAATTAGGATGAATGGGTGAATCACTGAATAATTCACTCAACCAATTTGTTTAGAAACACTGACTCATTCACTACTATACTGAGCGATGACTCTGCTGAGGCTTGGTTCAGAGCTGTTTTTACTGTAGGCGCAAAACAAAGTAACAGGCAATATTGTGCCTAAAATTACTCAATAAGAAATTCTTGTTTCTTGAACTTCTGTATTAAAGCAATATCACACTCAAATCCGCATATATATATATATAAAAGTACCCCAGCAATCTTAGCTGTGTGATATTGCTTATATTAGGGGTGGGCAATATACCAGTAGACACAATTAACCGGTAGAATTTGTCAACCGGTAGAGATTCTGAACTATTGTCTCTATCGCAGTTACACATTCATGTAACATTGCTGTGCTACATGGTCACGAAAACGTATCGTTTGCACGTGTTTTTAAGCATTGCGATTTAAAATCAAGTGATTTTAAGCCATTGAAAATCAATCTGCAGCGAAAGAGAACTCATTTCGCTATATGTGCGTGCTGTCTGAGACTATTTCTGAGCACTATCAGTGATGTGCGCACACGTGAAGACAGTGTTCTACTGTTCAAAACAGTTTTTTTGCCACTTTATAGGCCTTGAATAGTTAAAAACATGTACTTGTATGAGTCGAAAGTGTAATTTAGGTCTTAAGTGAAAGCAAACATCTGAGAAAGAAAACACATGTGTAACAGTATATTGGATCCGGTCAGCTCTTAAAGTGACAGCAGTCTAATATTCCTGCTGTCTGCCATTCATGTTAATCAAACAACAAAAGAAAGAAAAAGTGGAGATAAACTACCACTTTTGTTACTTTAATAAAAGAGAAATATATATTTAATTTACACAGTGAAGAATATGCAGTGTTTTTATACATTTGATTACTTTATACAATGTATGTAGCATTTGTTATTTATTTGATATACTGTAGTTTTTTTGTCCCATTACTTGTAATTAGTTTCTTATTCTTATTTATTCTTAATTAATGACCGTTTACTTGCCTTCAGTGAGCTTGAGTTTTGTTTTTGTTTAGGTTACTCTTAGTTTTTTGTGATATTGACACTGGTGACTAGAATTATGAAATTTCTATGGTATCAAAGATTTTGATATCATAAAGACCTTATTTAAAGCAAAAATAACTATATTGTGTGATATATATCATTATCGTGAAATAAAATTACTCGGATCGTGATAAGATTTTGGTCATACCGCCCACCCCTAGCTTATATTACTTTATATTATTCAGCTTTATGCAATGTGATCTGCTGCCAGTGTAAACACATTAATACTGATGCTCAAAGATGTAATAACATAATAACTGTATGCTAGTCTCTGTATCACAGATTCTGACTCCATGGATCAATGCACTGTCCGTTCCCCCTGAGGCCTACAGTACACATCCACACACATCACTGAACTTCATCATCTGAGCTATCCAAATGACTGCTCAAATCCTGCTGAACTATAAACACAAGCCCAGAAGGAAATGTTCCTCTCAGAGAGAGACTAAACAAAGACGAGGTAGGTAGTATAGAGAGAAACATATATCACAACACTGAAATATTCCTCAGGCTGATGAAGCGTAATTAGTACAATAATATCACGACACCTCTCGACACTTAGTTCATTAGATTCCTAATCACGAGGACGAACAGGAACATCATATCAGATAACGTTTCCTGTTAACTGATTATGTAAAGTATAATTATGAAACTGAATTTGCCCTGAGCTATGATTATATTAATAATATTCTTCTTCACGTAGCGTGGCACATCCTCAATCTGTGTCCAAAGCTAGACAATGTCCATGCAAAACTTTAATACATAGAAAAAAGCACGAGATTGTCCGGTTGTTAACTAAATTCTAAATAAGGACATAACATACACCTCTATTTTTTTTTTTATGTGAAGCAAATTATAATGAGTTACAGATAAACATAAACCCACCCTTAAAACAAAGCATTTTTCTTTTTTTTTTTTTACTTTTGTTTATGGCACACAATGTGGGTGTATGCCACAATGTTCTAATAATAAAAATCTAATAACAAAGATTTCCAAATCGTAAAAAGCTAGAAAACCATCCTTTGTTCCCTGAGATCAAGAGGATATAAATAGTCTTGAGTGGTTCCTGTTTGTATATGAAAAGGAAGAGCAAATGTACACAAGTTGGGAATGGCCAAATTGTTTCACGACCATTTCAACTTCATGATTAGTTTGGGTGGGACAGCAAGTGTGTGTGTTTGTGTGTGTGTATACCCGTGTGAGGTCCATGCCCAGTTTGAGTTGAGACAGCAGATGGAGGATGATGCTTCTCTGGTCATCCAAGACTCCGAGGTCTTCCTCCTCATTATCTTCTGTGTCTGTGATCTCCTCGCTGGAGTCCACCGATTCTGAGCTGGAGTTCTGCAAACACACACACAGGACAATTTCCAAATGTTACTGAACAAAGATCACTTGTTATTTACTACTAATTATATTTTAAACCTAATTTCTATACACCACATACATGGCATGCTGTGAAAGCCCATATCCACCACATAAGAAAAACAATCATAATTATGACATAGACAGTCTAAATGATAAGATGTTATAATTGAGTTATAGTTGACATAAAAAGTCTATGTATTCATTACGAATTTTTAAAACATAACTATGTCATAAAAAGTCAAATTTATGACATTAAAAAAAATCATAAGTCTGACATAAAAACTCAAAATGATTACTGTCATAATCATTACTTTTTAATCCCATAATTGTATCTCATAATTGACTTATTATTTTTTATTTACCAAGACAAAAAAATGTTTATGGTGGAAATGGGCTTTCATACCATGCTGTCAGTCACCACTGACAATAATTCACTTGTAAACGAACCCGATTAGTGTTGAAATTTGTTTTTGTATTGTTTTGTTGTTGTTTCAACACTCCTTTAACCATAGAAATGCTATAGAAATTGCAACTAAAAAAAGAGAACATGGTGGAGAACTTTTTTACTTTTATTTTTTTCCCATTTATTATTTTAATTATTTAATTTATAATTTAAATGTAATTGTTGTAAAATGTAAAAGTTGTCATTGTATTATAAGCTGTCAATATATTTATTCATTATATTTAATGTAATTCATTTTTGTATTCCCCTTTTTTGTAAAAACATTTAATTCATTTTTGTAAAAAAAATAAAAAAATAAAAAAAATTATATATATATATATACAGTGGGTACGGAAAGTATTCGGATCACTCCTTTTTCCTTTCCAAGGCACATGAATGTGAGTAAGTGAGGGGCAGCAGATGGGATCTAAATGGGTTATATGATTAGACTGTAAAGTAAAATAGTAGGGTTTTGTGAACAAGCCGTAATCCCCGAGGTAACGCTTACAACTGGGCACAAAACATTGCCCGTGGCGTTATGGGCCGATTTGATTAGATTCTCTTGCAAACCATTTATCATATTTCCCTTTCCTTCAGCATTCTCTCTTAGCGGTAAAAAGGGAAAATTGTGTTCCTGTAAAAAGTACAGGAGCTCATCGAGCCAGATGGGATGTCCTCATTTCGAGCTGCAGCGATCCACCTGAATATTTCATAGAACAAGAGCAGAGCACTTTCTCTCTCCCTTTACGTCATCACAGATATGATTAAATAAACACATGTGAATGAGGTCACATGCAAGTTCACACATCCAGTGTGACCACAAATCTATAACACAAATGCATCACCAATACTAAATACAATGTTCCATGCTCACATGGATTCACAAAGGACCATGTCAAGGACACTCGAAACTATTCATTTCTGTCCTCCTTTCTCTGTGGACGCTCAGTTGGGTGGTTTTGTTTTGTTGGAGTGTTTGGTAGCTACAGTAACTACTAGCCAAAAGTTGCATGTTGAGATTGTTTATGCAAATCAAATCAGAGCTAATTAAATACACAGTGATTTAAGAGATGCAGCGGAAAGAAGACAGTAGAATATGAAAAAAGTACCCAGATTTTTCTAGATTGACTAGAGAGAAAATGGAGACTTTGTCTTCTAAAGACTTTTCTGTCAGAGAAAAATACTCCAGTAACCTCACTTTTTCAAAGTTTCAGAAGAGATCTTAATGTGTCAAACTGTGTCTGCAATCAAAAGTCAGAGATTTCTCATCAAATTCTACCAAAACCAAAGCTTTGTGGTCTATATTAATTTTATAGCTCAATACGGAGTTAAAATGGTCTCATTTTTGTTCCTTTTATTCCTCCTAAGGAAATTTTGAGAAACATCTGAGATGAAGTTGATACATACATAAGAACACCACTTTGTCACCTGAGCTTCTAAAGAGCAACCTCCAAGCAATGGTATTTTCCACTGCTAGACTTAATATGCAAAAATACTGGCATAAAAACATGACCAACATGAGCCAATAAAAACATTACAGCAATGACTGAAGTTTCCAACTTCCCAGCATTCCAGAGAGTCACTCCTGCCTCTCGCCAACAGGATAAACATGCATCAAACTTACATTCATTTCGGGGCTGGTTCAGAAATGCGCTCTTGGGTGTTCATCTCATAGTTTGACTGTGGTGGTATCCACAAAACTCTCTCTTTCACGATCTCTCACTAACTCTGACACTCTTATCTGGCTGCCCAGCTGTCCCTGAGCCGAGGAAGTGCTGCTCCCTCCCACTCTGCCAGCCTGTACTCTCTCTCTCTCTCTCACTCTAATGCTGCCTCGATTCCCCACAAACCGCTTGCTTAAAGTACAGCTGAACTTCATGAGGTTTGTTTGCTCTGGTTCATGGAGGATGGAGTTGACATTATATAGTAGAGAGAGAGAGATCAAGAAACGGTGAAGAGATTAAATTGAGGCCCTCCATATGACCTTCAATCTATCAAAGCCACTCCCACCTTAAATCACTTTCGTAGTGCATTTACACCAATTCCACATCTGCCTCATCCCCATTATAATGTCGAGCATCACCTCTGTTTCTCAGAGCAAGCACACAATGCTGAGGACAAGTGTAGTTAGCTGGACAAATTTGGTTTCAGTCAGATTAAAGGCAAATTATTAAAATCAAAGTGCATGTAAATGTACTTGTCCAGTCACTCCCAGTTGACCAAACATCCACTTTAGTTACTGCTCCAACACTAGTTAACACAAGTATAAAAACAAACCCTTGGTGCATTAGGGAAGTAATGCTTTAAATTTTAGGATTTCTCAAAGACACTTTTTTGGTTTTAAATTTTTTAAATTTTTAACTTTTTAAAGTAATGAACGTATAAATAAACGGCATTGTTCAAATGTTTGGGGTCGGTGAGATTTTTTCAATTTTAAAGCTGCATTTATTTTATCAAAAAAAAAAATGCAGTAAAAACAGTATAAATAGTGAAATGTTTTTACAATTTAAATAAATATATTTTTAAAAATTATAAAATGCAATTTATTCCTTTGATGCCAAAGCCAAATTTCCAGCATCATTACTCCAGTCTTCAGTGTCACATGATCATTCAGAAATCATTCTAATATACTGAACATTTATTATTACTAATGTTAAAAACATATGTTGTGCTGATTAATATTTCTGTGGAAACCGTTATACACTTTTCTTAGGATTCTTTGATGAAAACAAGGTTCAAAAGAACAGCATTTATTTGAAATAGAAATATTTTGTAGCATTATAAATATCTCTACTTTCACCTTTGATGAATTAAATTCATCCTAGCAGAATAAAAAATATTAATTTATTTCAAAAAGGAAAAAAAAGTCTCACTGAGCCCAAACTTTTGAACAGTAATGTATAAATGCAGTAAAGCAAGGAGAAAAAAACAGTATCTGCCATGATGTTAGTACAGTTTGAGTTTGTGATGTGTTCAGTATCATTTGATCAGTATCATATGATGTGTTTAATCCTCGTGCGGTCCCATGACACGACCTGATCCGCACAGGACTCCACGGGAACCTCCTGAACCTAGTGTGTGCATGCATATGTGTGTGTGTGTGGTATTTCATTATGCAACACTAGAATACTGCATATTGCACAGTATACAAAGTATGGTATACAGTAGTATGCTGTAGTCACCTGACCTCATTATACAATCTTAGAAAATTAAAAAAAAGGTCCATTGCATTTTTAATTACATTTTATTTTGAGAAAATAAATTTGATTAAATCTTGACTGACAGCACATCATCAATTTCCATTGGTTTTAATAGAAAAAAAGCTTAAACTACATACTGCATACATAGTAAGAGTAAAGTATGCTATTCAGAACACAGCCTCATCACAGTGTGTGTTCCAACAGAGGAAAGAAAAAAGGGGAGAGAAAATGAAAAAATCCCCTAGTCAGAGGATTAAGTGTGTACTATACACTTCACATTAGTCATTGGCATGATCTCAGATTATACTCTGCAATGTCTTTTGTTCACAAACACAACTCAAAGCACAACTCTGGCTCCAGGCTTCATCTTAGCACACAGAGATGATTTTTGTACACAATGCAATTAGCTCTATTATACACACTAGATGAAATACAGTGGGGTTCAAAGGAGTTGTGAGATATGTGTGAAAATGCTTAGACTGCAAATGGTAAAAAGTCTGTAGTGGGAGACACTGTTTGTTGAAACCTTCCTTTTTAGGACTGATCATAAAAAATCAGCTGACTTTGGTCAGGTGGCGTGACATCATGTTAGCGCTCCTGGGAAAACAGCATGAGCTGGTGGGAAAGCAGTGTTTAAAACAGCACCACCATCATGAATTAATAATCAGCGGCAGCACGTTGTCTTCAGGGACGCAGTTAATGGAAGTGCCCACGCACTGAGAACAAGATGAAACCACGTACCTGAGACAAAGAGCCTTTAATGAACTCTACCATATAAAATTATAATAGTCTGCAGAAACAAACAGATCTCAGGGGTGAATAAAATGATAATGAATAACACAACCATTTGAATTCACCATCCCAATCTTATTTAAAATAATAATAATAATAATAAAAACTTAAAATGTACTTTTGTGTGTGTGTGTGTAGGTTTGTATTTTTTTTTTATATTTTATTAATGTAATGTAAAATAATATAATAAAAAAAAATTAAAAAGTAAAATGTAGTTTATCGTTTAGCTTGTAGTTTTAAAATGTTACTACCACTGCTACTACTAATATCTTCTATTAACAATGTAAAGTAAAATAATTGAATACATTTTAAAATGTAATAAGTATATGTAGTTTGTAGTTTACTTTATTAATTTTAAAACGTATTAAACTATTTAACATTACATATATAAATTATTAATAGTACTAGTATTTTAAAGACAAAGTTACTTTTTAAATGATTAAATATTATTTTTCATTATATCAATAAAATAATAATCTAAAAAACTTGAATTCTGAACTACATACTACTTTTTTACATTTTAAAATATTATAATATTATTT